GTTGTGCGTGCGCCATCGAGACTCGCGCGGAAAACAGAAGCGCGACGGGGGAGGGGGAGACAGCGGAGCGAAAAAAGAGGAGCCAAGCCGTAGGTACGTAACCGACAACCGACGGCGAACTAGACAGACACAAAGCAACGAAATTTAGCAAAATTATCGTCGGCGAAACGTGCGAGCGGGCTATGCGCAGCTGCAACAAAGCAGCGCGCGCGTACGCGAACTTTGCAGCTTTTGTGCTCGCCACTCGGAAGTTGGCTGGCGCTGAGCTTCGATTTTCGCTCGGCAGCAACTTTCTTTAACGAGTTGCGCGACTCTCTCTTTCCGCGCTCGGTTGGCTTTGCAGCGCCAACGACAGTTCCTCGCAATCGGACCGTTATGCGCCTCCTGTTTTTGTTTATTCCGCGACCTCGAATTAATTGTCGATGAGAATGAGAGTGAGAGGGAGTATCCGTGAACCGGGGAAGGTCCGATTAAAAAAGCGACCTCGCGTCGAAAATGGTAAGGGAAAGAGCGCCTCGATTGTTTGCTACAAGGATCGCAATATGTGTCCTCGAGTGGCGCTACTCGAGGGAGAGAGAAAGGGCGACTACGACGTGGACGCGCGCGAAATATGCCGATTCGATTGAAATCTGCGCAATAATCGCAGCTGCCGCATACGTCAGCAGCGCGGCTCCGCGCGGCGAGTGTGTGTGGCCGCAACATTTGCATAATTCTCCATGTCAGAGAGAGCGAGAGAGAGAGAGAGAGAGAGGAAGGGAGCGGCGCGCGGCGTGCTCAGCATATCTCTCCGTTAGCTGGCGCATACTCTTAGATCAGCATTCCCGGGATTGACCCGCGCCTCTATCCGCTAGGCACGCTCTCTGTCTCTCTCACTCCCTCGTCTGTTTATCGGCCGATAACGAGAACGCAAACCAAAGAAAACTAGCTGTATTGTCGACTAGGCGGGCCAGGGAGGTCGCTCGCGTCGATCGATCGAGCCGCTGATTCTTCTGAGAGAGAGAGAGAGAGAGGCTGCGCGCGCTGCTGGCTTGCTGCGATGCGATCACTGCACCCTGCACCTACGCGCGCAGCACCGCCATTCAAGATCTGCGCGTATGCCCGGCGTGCTTCCTCCTTTTTTTCCGCGTGCGCATCTATATTGGCAATTTGTCAGTATCGCGAAAAAGTATATATGTATCATTTATGGCCAGCGAAGAATAAAAACGAGTGTCAATTCCGTCAACGACGGTGGAGTGGGTGAAGCGATAAAAAGAGAGAGAGAACGTCGCTTTGGAAATTCGAAACTCTCGGGAAATGTTATTTGTCGTCTCTCTCTCTCTCTCTCTCTCTCTCTCTCTCTCTCCGCTTTATTGAAAAATGGTCGAGAGTCGGCGAGAGCGTAACATCGCAATCGCTTGACGAAGCAACTAACAGCGGCCACGATCAATGAACAATCACGTTCCGCGTTTCGCGCGAGCGTGAAGAAACATTTCTGGTTGATTCCGCAGTCGCCGAAAAGAAGCACGAGATTCAATTAGCGTCGAGCCGCCTGGGCACTGGCAGCAGCAGGTACTCCCTTTCACGAGTGCATCGATCGATCACCGGCTGCCGGAGAGTGCGGCCCACTCGACTCTTGCTCGCCAGCTGAATTAGGCTTCCGCGAGATTGACGTCTCCCTTCCTTCCCCTCTTCCGCTACCACCCTTTCACGCCTTTAAAAATTTGCTCAATCGCGCCGCTACGCGAACGCCCGGCTTGGATCTTGTAATTGCTGCAAAGCTCCTCCCCGAAAGCTCGTAGTCGAGAGAAGGAAGGCACGAAGGGTAGCGAGCTACGTGGGTGTGAACGGATGGCGAGCGCGGTGAAATAACGGAAGGTAAGAACAGAGATACAGACGTGTAAACCCGCAGCGATGGATGTACTTAGATGTGCGCTGGCACATTCATACGAGAGCCAGATAAAAAGAGAGGACAAGGGAAGGGTGTAGAAAGTGTTTTGTCCGCCAGTAGCTTTTCCGCGGAATACGAGTTAAAAATCCCCTTGAACGTATCGCACAGCAGCAAGCGAACAGTAGAGAGTCGTCGTCATCGTCGTCGTCGTCGTCGCCGTCGTCGTCGTCGTGTCGTCATCGTCGTCGTGTCTGCGTCGCGGTCACATATGCTTCAGCTCGCGCTCGCACAGACACACGCGAGAGCTCGTTTGCTGCGCGCAGTGAAACTGTGCGAGAGCTGCGATGATAATGCGGCATTATTGTCTCGTGTGGTGGTCATATATGTGTATATATGTATATATATATATGCCATGTACAATGTATTCTAAGCCTTCTCTCGCATTAGCATAATGAAAATTGAGCCTTCTGCGACGATAACAAGTGCGCGAGTCGTCTTTTCCTTTTGTAACGTGCGATTCGGCACGTTACAGCTGGTAGTTTGTCGATTGGAGAGGGCGTTGGCGAAACGCACACAGTTGCGCGCGTAAGCGATACAGAGCGCACGCACCTGCGTACTCACTCGTGACTGGCGCCCTTGCTGGGTGGTGCTCGCGATGGTTGCCAGCCGCTCTCCTCGACGACGGCTACCTGAAACGGAAAGCTTGCGGCCAAGCGCGAATGGCGAGCGCTACGTCCTCTTCGCTCGTGCGCGGACTCGCCTTTTCTGCGGCTAATCTGCGTCGCCCGCAGAGCAGACAGATCTCGAGGCGGGAGATGCGCACGCCAAATGTATTTCGAGGCGCCCGAAATACGGCCCGACAGCTGCGCGTGGGATTGAGCAGGAAGAGACAGCTGACCGTTAACAGTCGACGGTTGTACGAAAACAAGATTTATTGCCGCGACTTATAAATCAGTCCGCGTTCACTCGCACTTGCGCACGACTTTGCAATACCTCGAAGCGACTTTCAAACGACGGTATTAACGTGGAGTTGGGTGATCGCTCGGCTACTGGCAGGTGTCGGGCTGTGCAATGGCACAATTATCACTGCGTGCGATCATTGCACATCAACTCTATATTGGTCGTCCATTTTTATCGCTTACCCGCGCAACTACGCGAGTGTCTCTCCAATCGGGAAACTACCACGCTGAAACGTGCCGAGTTCCACGTCCAAAGCTAGTCGAGTTACATCTTTTACGCAATTATGGTTTTTTCGTTTTTACAAAAGCTAGTCTCTCTCGCTCAGGCTTTCAAAGAGCTCTTCCCCTATACATGATGGCCTGTAATTGGCTTTCAAGCTACAGAGAGTGTATTATGCCTAAGTAATTAATGTATTTACAGGATTTATTTTTCAGTCGGAGAGCTCGACGCGATGGAACAAAGAACAATGGAAAAAAGAAAATCCTGCCCTTTCGTTTGTTTGTTTGCTCGCTCGTTCCTGAGGGCGGTTCGAAAAAAGAAACGATGCGCGCGTACAAACTGCGCAGCGCATTCATATTAATTAGCGGAGCGAAAAAAAAAACACGAGCAGGAGAGTTAAAGGAATACGTGTATGTATTCGTCGTAACTGCGAGCGTAACAAGTGTAATCCGAAGTGTGTACGAATTGGTTTTCCCGTACTACTAGCAAAAATGTCGCTCTCGGCGTTTAATCCTCTTTTCGCCCCTCCCGCCGCGAAGCTCGAAAGCTTTTCATCGGCCATAACTCCGTCGCTCGAAGCTCGCCGAATCGATTTCGGACTCGAAAGAGCGCGGCCAACTTCGCCGAGCCGGCCCAGTTCTCGATTTCGAATAAGCAGCGACGCTCGCCGATCCTTCTCGCCGCTCTCCGCGACATACGAGCTTAATTTTCAAGTGGCGACGGCAACCGGGATCCGGGGGCAGTCGGACGCCCGCGCGCGAAACCTCCAATATAAACGATCCCTCCGCGCGGCGCTGGCTTTTTTCCCCGACTGCGCTGTTATTGCAGTTGGGAGAGCCGTCGACCGGGGAAAAATCAGGCGCTCGAGATGAAAAATCGATATACGTAGTCCCGAAACAGCGAGAAAAAATGTATATGGTAACGGGCGTACAGGCGATATTGGCGTACGAGCGAATCGACAATCCGATTAATCCCGAGAGAAAATATAGGAGCGCTTTCAGCGCAGCCGAGCAAGAGGACACACGAGCTGTCGCTCGGCTTTCGCGACTGTAGAAAATTCACCGCAAGCTCTTCCATGCAAAGGTGGTCCGCGCGAAACCGCTCGTCTCGTTGGGCCCGCCGCGGCGCGACGACAATTGGCCCCTTCGGCTTTAGCGGGCGGCGAGCTCTCGATCGAGCCGCCACGCAGCTGCAGGCTATAGCCGCGGAGAGCAGTCGCGCAATCACTCGCCGTGATGGCGCAGTCGCTCGTTCTTAATTGTCAATTAGGATTCTAATCAGCGGCGTCTCTTCCGTCCTCGTCCGTCGAGGGCCTGGCGTCCCCCTCTCCCCCGAGCTCGCTGGAATCCCATTCACGCCCTTTTCCACCGAGGTGTGCTTTCATTTCCCGTTCCCCTTCGCCAGCTGCAGTCGCGGCGTCGCGCCGTTCGCGCGAGATTGGACCTTTCTTCGCGCGAGGGCAAAACATTTTCGGCTTGCATTTGCATGGAGAGGAGCGCGAGCGTCCGTGCAAAAACTGCCAATTTGGCGGCGACGGCGACGACGAGGACGGCGGCTAATTGAGAAAATAAACCCGGGACGCAATTCGCTTTGCATGAAATTCGGTCGAGCTTGGCTACCGGGATTACACTTGCGTCAGCCGCGCTTCTAATTTAACGCACGCACACACGAAAAAGAAGGGGCCGGGGGGGGGGGGGGGGAGAACAAATAGTGCGGTCTGTCGGCATCCATCGCTACATTGGCGTCGTCGGCGCGCATGATCGATCATCCGCGATCGGCGCAGAGCCGAGTCGCTCGTTCGACAAGAGGTGATGAGCGCTGCACACATCGCAGAGGCTCTGAGGTGCGAAAGACAGATTAGTCGGCAGTGTGATCAGATGGCGGACGGAGCTGTGGAGGGGCGAGGTGTGTCGTGTGTGGCGGCGTGTGAGCGCGTGGGCGCTGTGTCGGTTACCTGTGCCGTTTACGCCGCTCGGCCTTATGCGGGCGTCGTAGCTGCCGGGGCCGAGGATGTCGTCCAGCACCTGCTTCTCCTTCTCCCGAAAGTTCATCTTCTTTGGCTGCCCACATCTGTAACACACGCACGCGGTCTCTCTCTGTACACAGCTCGATCGCTCGCGAGCGCGTTCGGCGCGTGCGCGGCCCAGGAGACCCGCGAGGCGGCCCTCCTTGCTCCGCTTTCCTCCGGCCAACTCGATCCCTATCTCGCGCTCCTTTCCTGCCTCGGCCTCCTTTCTCCCTTGGCACGCGCCGAGCTGCTCTCCTCTGAGTTATGGACTTGGCGTCCCGTGTATTAATTCCACGAATTTTTAATTAATTGAATGGACCCGAGAGCGTCGGCAGCCCTTCTTCATCTCTATCTCTCTCTCGTTTTCTTTTCCGCCACCGCTGAATTTCCGCGTCGGTTTATTTTTTCTCCACCGAGTTTACGCGCCAGCTACGGTCGACGGACTAAAGGCGAAGAGAGTTAGACAGGGGCTCGCCGACCTTTCCAATTAACGCCGAGGCGATTAGGATGAGAAAAGAGGCGAGTCGCATGCTGCGCGTCAATCAAGAGATTAATCGCGCGAACGATGGCGCGCGACGACAAGCGGCCAATTACCGGCGCTGTAGATCGAGGGCCGCCGATACGTTGCCGCGGCATTACGCTCCAAGCCCGCAAGCTCGCGCGCGCACGCTTCGCCCGAATTTTCCTGTTGGCGGCTGACGCGAAGCCTAACGAGGCCAATGACGAGTGTCGCGCTCGACATATGTATGCATCAAACGTTGTTCTTGTGCAGAGGAAGCTATTTTCTTTTTATATACGTATAGGCTTTTGTTCGCGGCGAGCGCGATGCTCCTCCGTGCGCTTTTTTTCGAGTCATTAGCGACGGAGACGGATGATCTTTTGTGTACGCTTGCTTAAATGCTGTATAGCTGTCTAATTAGTTTCGTGCGCGCGCGCACTCGCGAGAGAGAGAGAGAGAGACAGAGGTAGAGACGAAAGAGAGTCTTTCGTGAGCGTACAACTCTCGGTATTATTATTCTAAACGGACGTCTCGCAGAGGTGAAAAGGAGGCACATCGCGACTTTATCATGGCGCGTAGGGACACAATATTCGGGGGGAGGGGGGGGGGGGCTGATTAAACTCGGGGCTTCTCTCGCGTGATTTGTCGCAGTTTTCATCGGCTCGCTTAATCGCGCTTTCATTTCAATCGCTATGCCGTCACCGATAATTTGCGCGCGGCGAAAGAGCCAAACTGTGACGGATAGCCAGAGAGCGAGAGACAAATTTGGCGGAACGCTGTGTGCACGCGCCAATGACCGATTGCTGTACGTCGTACGAGATTTTAGATTTAGATTGCAACTGGATGAATTATTTGCCGGCGCGCGCCGGTTCAGTTGTTACATTTTCTCCCGTATTCCTTTTCTTTTTTCGCTTTACCGAACTGCGAGCGAAGCACCGTGGAAATTGCACGTACCTTGATTACCCCGTGACGAAACGTTTGCGCGCAAATTGGAGGTAATGTAGAGGGAGAGGGGCAATGTAAATAAAACTTTGATTCCAATTGAGAATTCCAATGTCGCGTCACCAGCGCGCGCGAAATTTCATTTGCTCGCATCGTCCAAGTCTGATTTTTCACGGAAATTCGAGCGCGCGCGCTGTAGCGCGAACTATACGCACGCCGCTCCAACTTCAAAATTGATAATTCCAATTTTGTGGAGCCCGATGCGCGCATTTCCAGATTGGCGCGATTGCGAATCCGCCTGGCAAAACTTCCGCGTTCGCGAGTGCGCAGAACCGTCGAATGTCGCTCGCTCGCGCGCTCGGCAACCAATTAGTGTTTCTATCCAAGAATCTCCATGATATTCCGCGCGGCGCACAGATCTTTCTCGGCCGAATAGATAATTCTCGATGCAGGCTCAGCTATCAAACAACAACCGCTGGGCCAATTCATAATTTGCCGTATCCACAGTAACCGATTACACTCAACTAATAATAAAAAAGAAAACGAATCCGTGCCTTTATTCGTCACATCACAAAAAAAAAAAAAAAAAAATCAAACAAACAAAAAAGGAGAAGAGAAGAAATCCATTGTCAATCTCTAACAAAGCGCATCGATCGCGTGTACTTTTTTCTTCCTCCGCGTAGCAGTAGCGGCAGCAGAAGCAGCCAGCCCGCAAGAGCACAATTAAAAACCCATCGAACGCTTCCGCGAGATAAAAAAAAATAAAAGAATAAAACGAAGAAAGAAAGAAAGAAAACAAAGGGAAAAATTCGCGTTACGCGAAACTGCAAAGTCGTTAACGCGAGATGGATATATGCGGGAAGGTGGAAGCTGCCACTAAAACCGTACGAGGCAGCGAGCGAGATTGACGCGTGCGCGAGTGAAAAAGCCGACAATTCGCCGCCTTGCGCGGGCACTTTTACGAGGAGGGAATATTTATCGGGGCGCGCTCGCTCGCGCTAGCCATTGGCGTATTGTCGGGCCGCTCGCGCGCCGGCGCTCGGAATTGATCACGGGGCGTGAGCGGCCGTTTAACGCGATCGTCACGATTCCTTTATTCTCGCGCGTCGAGGAGTCACGACGGCCAAGTGACGCGCATCGACGTCGCGTCAGACGGGCCAGTCCCGCGTGGCGACTGCTCCCCCGTTGAGGCTCTACTTGCTCCGTCTCACTCGTGAAAATGAACTCGTCACTCGAGCGGGGGTCGGGGATCGCTCGTTAAAAAGGCATCGAGACGTAAGAGATAGCTGCACTCGACGGATATTAAAAGCAAATTAGCCATGCATAACGCGACCTCTCTCCAGAAAAGTCAAACGTTGACCGCGCGCGCCCCAGTCTTGGATTCGAGAGAGGGGGTGCAAACTTCGGCTAGTTTACGCTCGTCAATATTTGTTTACCAGTCTCTCTCTCTCTCTCGCTCTCTCTCTCTCGCTCTCTCTCTCTCTCTCGCTCGCTCTCTCTCGCTCGCTCTCTCTCTCTCGCTCTCTCTCTCTCGCTCGCTCTCTCTCTCTCGCTCGCTCTCTCTCTCTCTGTATACGTCGCCGGTTCAACATACGTCGCCGTTCAACACACAACCAGGATAGCGGGAGGGGTGTAACTATCCAAACTTATATAGTTGAAGGTGATAAGGTGAAGAAGGAAGGATACGTGGCAGCGAAATAAGAGCAGCGTGTTCGCAATGTTGACAGGATAAACACCCAAAGAGGACGATTTCTCCCGGCAATCGTCCTCTGATTGCTCTCTCTGTTTCTCTCTTTCCCTTCAAGAACGGAAGAAAAGCTCAATTGAAGTCGAATTAAAATACGTGAGCGGAGTGCTAGGCACCAAATTCGGCTGGTCCGAGGCTGCCGGGCGAATCGATTGCTGCGTAGTCGTGGCCGGTCGATTGGCGAGAGCTCGTTAATCTTCGAGGAGAGGGGGGGGGGGGACGCAATTATAAACAGACCGGGGAGAGATTTCGCAGAGTCAGGACGATTACGCGAGGCGAGTGGCGTGATTGAGTAGAAGCGAAAGGCCGGAAAAGATCCAGGAGAGAGAGAGAGAGAGAAAGCGAGAAAGTATTTAGGCAACGCGAGGCAGTATAATGAAAAAGTATTTAAAGGGGTAGAGTGGTAGAGTGCGCGTGTCCGTAAGAGAGAGAGAGAGAGAGAGAGAGAGAGAGAGAGAGAGAGAGAGAGAGAGGTGAATAGACTCGCAGAGAACGATACTGCGCGCGCGAGTTTCTCATCAGCGTTCGAGCCGCGGGCTACCGGCGACGAGTCTGAATATTTCAACCTGCAGTCTTCCCTTCCGCATCCGCGTCGCTCGTCATCGTCGTCGTCGGCGTCGTTTGCTTCCTTTTCTCCTCACTGTTTATCCATGCAATTTTCTTCTTCTGCTCACGCTGTTTATCATCGATTCCTCTGTATCGCGAGTTAAAGCAGTTTTTCTAATGCAACTGCTACAAAGAGAGAGAGAGAGAGAGAGAGAGAGAGAGAGAGAGAGAGAGAGAGAGAGGGAAAAGGGAGATTTCCCCCTTCTCTTTTTACATTTGGCGCTCTCTGACGCTCGAGAGAGATGCCCGTAAGCGGAAAGCGAAGAAAATTGAGTTTGCCGTCCAAGTCCGTTCCGAAAGGCGTACGTGTGCAGGTGTATCGATCGGCTGATGCATGCGCTTCCTGGGTAATCGGAAAAGTTAGGCCGCTCCAGCGAGCGAGAGGAGGAAATATTGGTTGCGCGCGGCTCGAGCGAGCGGAGGACAGGTATATCGCCGCGTGACTCGTCGAGGAGACGTCGTCGCGGAGGCCCTCGACGCGTACTCCCCGCGTGGGGTCCGTCTCATTCGAACGCAGATGCGGCGCCAGTGGGGTTGCGAATGGCACAAAGCGCGATCGGGCACACGAGGGACAATCGGAGCGAGGCGCGCGCGCGCGCGCGCTGATGGACGGGCGCCGTCCAATCGCGCGGCGGGAGCGGCGCAAATCTCGAATACAAAGGATCTCGCGAGCGGGTCGAGAGAGTCGTAGGTGCGCCGGCGCCGGCGGTGGTGGTCGTGCGGCGATAAACTCACCTCGCTGGATGTAGCAGGAGTAGTGCCAGTAACGCTATCAGCGGTAGTGCTCCAGGCCACATTGCGAAAGCCTGAAAGCAGATGTAATCACGTTTGTATAATGAGAGACAGAGGAAACCCACGCCCTCGTCGAACTTATGTGCGCGCTTCACGTCAAAGCCTTCATCTATACGTCATGGCTGTCTCTCTCTCTCTCTCTCTCTCTCTCTCTCTCTCTCTCTCTCTCTCTGTTCTCTGTTCTCGCTCTATTCGCACACGGACCTTCCTTCGACGCGCAAAGAAATTGCAGAGCCTAGCTTTTGATTCGCCGTGATTACGGCTCGAACTTTATTGCGCCGTGTCGCGTCCGCCCTTTTCTTCCTGCGAGGTGTACGGAAACCCTCCCACGACGTGTCTTCAAATCCCGATACACGTATTTACAGGCTTTAATTGAAACGAATCGCTGCGACGTTCGTATTTACTTAGCCCTGCCCTCCAAGGTCCGAGGAGTATGCGATTGTCCGGCTATTGTTCTTTCGAAAAGGCGATACGTCGATAGATCGGCGAACGATCGCCAAAGTACCATACGAACGCGCGGGCGGACGGAAGGATCAAGTGCGTACGCGCGCGCGACGATTGCTCTGCGAAAGGGATAACCTCCGTAGTTAGTCGGCTAGACTCGCCGCTTGTTCTTGCTTCGCTTCGGCTGTCGCCGGAACGACGGGTTGGTCGGCGTGGTCCACGAAACCGAACGTTCGCCGTGGCGCGACCTCGCCAGCCGAGAATCCTCGGAAAATCGTTCCGAAAGACGAGGGGCCAAGAGGTAGACCGTTACACGATTCCCACCGGCTGCCGGCTACGTTGCATCGTTAGCGCTATCCGGAATATCTCCATCGAAAAACACCCTGTCGCTACACCGTGCAAATCGGATCGACGGAAAATCGCGCACGTCGCCGAGGTGCGAGATTATATACGGCAGAGAGACTTTTAGCTAGAAGAAGATGATAAAAAGGAAGGTAGTGCGCGCTAGAGGGAGAAAGAGAGAGAGAGAGAGAGCGAAGAAAGAAGTTTACTCAAGTCCCGTAGGAGTCTGCTACACTGCGCTTCTCTGCATTTTAAGAGCGTCTCCTAAATCTTGGCCGAGGCTGCTGCCCTCGTAATTCACATCGCAATTTCTCCCTCCTCGCGAGCAGCCAACGACCAGTATACTGCCGCTACTTTTCCCCGGAGGGAATAAAAAATAAAAAAGAAAGCGAAAGAAGGAGAGAATCGGCCGGTTCCTGGTATCCTTGTGCGTCTGCGATACGTTATTACACAGAGCTTTTGCACACGCGCGCGCGCGCACGTTGTCTCGGGCGGCAGAAAACCCGGGGCAAGAGATGATGTATTAGATCGCAGCTTCGGCAAGCACTTCTTACCGTACTGCGCCAGACACGCGCGCATTGTCTCGATGTTGGTAGATCCGCGTGCAGCCCCGTACGAGCGTCCAATAACTGGCGAACTGGCTTTCGCGCCTAGTTTCTATGTAGTCGCTTTATCGCCCACGCCTGATAGAGTCGAGACTCGTGATTTCGGATGGATTTCCATTATCGCCTCCCGCGCGCACTTCTCACTCCCGGACTCCGTTCCGTCCCGAGAGCTACGAAAGTCTCCGAGACTCCTTTTCTTCGGCCGAAACGCTGCGGTTTTTTCAACATCCCCTGCCCTCTCTCGCGCGCGCATCACCCTGCACTGGCTTCGAACCGCCGCCGAGCTGCGTGCGGAGGGAGAGGGACGAAAAAAGAAATCTCCATACCGGCGACAATGATCTAGCTCACCAGTTCAAAGAGAATCCATTAAAGTTGAATGACAACAGAATAAAAAAAGAGAGCTTTTCATTATTATTTTTTTCTTTTTGCCGAGGTCGAGCGCTATAGAATAGATTCGAGACGGAACGCGGCTACGTTAGCTCTCTCTCTCTCTCTCTCTCTCTCTCTCTCTCTCTCTCTCTCTCTCTCTCTTTTTCTCTTTTTCCGTTTTGCTGCAAACAGAAAGAGTTCATCGTTTTAATCGCGCGCGCTCAAGGAAAAAAAACAGTTGCTTACGCAGCACTTTGGTAGAAAGCTCAGACAATCGAGAGAGACAGAGAGAGAGAGAGAAAATGGGGAGCCTCGTCGCACGCGCGCACACAATCTCGTCGAGTATGTCAGTGTGTTATCGGCGAGCCGGTTGGCTGGGCATGAAGGGAAGGACGCAACGAGCCATACCTGGAGTGTGGTGAAGTCCTAGGCTAGCGTTGAATGCCAGGGGCTGCGCTGCTCTCGCGGATCCGGCATGGCGGCGGCGGCTGCTGCCGGACGAGTTGGCACGGACGACGACGACGACAGCGGCGCAGGGCGACAGCGCCGACGGCGACGACGTCGACGTTACTGGGCGGCTTGGTCTTCGGCGCGCCAGCTCCCTCCTCGCGCCTGCTGCCGCTTAACCGGCCGAGCGCGGCGGCGGCGGCGGCCAGTCACCGCCTAACTCGCTCTCACTGTCCTCGTCGCCGTCGTCCGCTGGCGCAGCCTCCTGCGCGCTCTGCTGGCCTCTCATACCCGCGGCACATGTAATCGTCCCAGGTGGAGCGGGCAGTGCGGACGCAAGCCGAGACGAAAGGACCGAGAGACGAGACAGGCAGAGAAAGACAGAGAGACAGAGAGAGAGAGAGAGAGAGAGAGAGGTAGAGTAAAAGAGAGAGAAGATGCGTGGGCCAGAGTCAACGAACCGCTTGCCAAAGCGTCGTATCCTGGACTGAAGCGCTCTCCGACAGCAGCAGTAGCCGGAGTGAGTCGGCGGGAGGGAAGAGGGTAGCAGAAGCGTTGCGCGCGCTGCGCTATTGATCTCTCTGGCGGCGGACCCAGCAGCAGCAGCAGCGGCGGCAACGGCAGCAGCAGCGGCACTCTCTCTCTCGCTCTCTCTCTCTCTCTCTCTCTCTCTCGCCGCGGCGCGTCGCTTTAGCAACGTGACGTCATTCCCAGCATCACTCGCGCGCGTCGTGCCCTCCTTCTCCGCAGCAGCGGCGACTCTCCTATTCCGACACACCGCGCCCTTTCCTTTTCGCGCTCTGCTCCGCAGCCTCTCTGCCCCGCCGCGCGCACCTTGCCGCTCGGTCGGCTTTCAACTACTTCTCCTCGACGAACCCGCGATGACGACGATCGAGTCATCTCGACCCTGCTTCTCGTGTCGCGCGAGTCCGCGAGCGACGTATCTCGCGCTGTCCAGCGAATCAACCGGGCTACGAGGAACGCGCCGCACTTAATCGATGCCGATATTTCAGACGCGTCGTCGATGTGATTTCTTTGCCGCCTCTCCCCTCGCCTTCTTCTCGACTACGGAATTTTGATGATCGGCCGGCTCGGCTCGTTCTTCTTGTATTCATCGATGTGGAGGGTCCTCCCTCGGCGTCGTGAAGGGTGGGGCTCTCTCTCTCTCTCTCTCTCTCTCGGGTTTTTCGTTGGCCGCGAGGCTAAACGACGCTTTAAAAATAGATCTCTCGTCCGCGCTGACGAGATGAATGTTTAAAAGGACACTTGGCATTTTGTCCGCTCGGCGCGCCTGTATGTCAGCATCTTTTGCGCGGGAGTTTGTTGCAGGACAGCATTAGCAATCACTTAGCTTCCTCCTTGTCTGCCCTCCGGAGAAATAAAACAAACCGCCTACGATTCACTTAAAAAGAAGTAAACTCTCTTTCTCTCTCTTTCTTTGGCTAAACACCGAAACGTAAACGGCTCGCATTCCCCTAACTACAACTCGAATTCTTTGCCTCGGATATCCCCCGGGGGACTCTGTTTGGCGCCGCTTCGAACACAGAAGAGAGAGAGAGAGAGGAGAGAGAGAGAGAGAGAGAGAGAGAGAGAGAGAGAGAGAGAGAGAGAGAGAGAGAGAGAGAAAACGGACGACAAGCTCCTTGATTTAATGTCTTCTTTTGTCTTCCGTCCAGCCTCTTGTAGCGCGTGCAGGACTACTTATATGCACCGGTCACAATGCTCATTCTTATACACTCAGCGTTTTATCGGGCCTCGTGCTCGCCGCTTTTCCGCCGCTTATTTGCAGGCGTGGGCGACGCCAACAAAGCCACGTCACTTTTTTTTCCATCGGCAATGCGCCGCTTCGCACCTACGCGCGCGATCTCTTATCGGCGCTTCTTGCCCCAGCAGCCTCCCGTCTGCCTCTTCATTTTCCCTCGCTCCAGCTCGGGGATTATCTCTGTCAATTCTGCAATTTGTATACTCGACCGAAATATCGTTCTCGCGTGCGGCGCGTCTCGCAAATTTACAGATGCTCGCTTAGATTTTATCTTCTCGCGGTTTTTTTTTCCCCTGCTCTCTCGATAAATAATGCGCGCGACGGCGAGGATTCACTCGGCGCGTAATCCAATTTCCACGAGACGTCGCGAATCGCGCGGTACGCGCGCGAACGACGATCGTAACTGCCCCGTTTCGCTTACGACGCGGTGCGTCGAAATAAAAAGCAACAAACGGCAACGTATTATTTTTTTTTTCTTGTTTTTTCTTTTGACCCTCTCGTCGCGCAACAAAACTCCCGTCGCGTGACGCGTGGGTGAATTTAGAGCCGTGCGAACGTACGCGTCCGAAAAAGCCCCTTTCAATCGGACGCGCGACAAACAATTAGAAAAAGCTCTCGAGCGAGTATCATAATTATGAGCGCCCCCGCTCCAGCCGACCTCGTCGCAATATAATCCTGGACGCGCAGCGTGCTCGTAAAAACGATACACGCACTGCAAGAGCATCGGGACTCGAGGGAAAAAGTTTTTCTCTCGAAGGCACCTTTGCGAAAACCCGGCTGTTTATCACGCGAGCGCGCGCGCGCGCGCGCCGACTCTCGGTGCTTATTAAATTGACGGCACACGTGGAGGAAGCAAGGCAATCGGCGCGAAAGGGACGCCGGCGCGTCTTTTATTTTCTTCTTCTTTCTTTTTCTTTTTTTTTTTCGCTGCAGCGTACGCGTGACATAATAATGATTGCGCGAGCGAGGAAGTGGGCGAGCAAGGTGGGTGAGCGAGCGACCGAGCGAGAGAGAGAGAGAGAGAGAGAGATAGAGAGAGAGAGAGAGAGAAAGGCCTGGGAGAATTTATGGATCGGCTTCGACGAGCTTCAGCTAGCTGGCTGCCGGCGGCGCTTGCAGCGCCACCTTTGCCTCGCTCTGTCGCTCGTACGTGGCCGCGCGTTTTCTTCGCAGCGCCGCCGCCGTTATTTTGTATATCGCGACGGCGGCGGCGACGACAAGCGCGCCGCGTCCCTTTCACTCCGCCACGGACTGACGCCGCCGGAGCGTGGCTTCGCACCTTCTTTGCCAGCGGTACGCGTCAGCGGCACGCCACTGGCCGGGTCTATTGAAAATTTTCGCGCGCGCGCGCGCGAAGGGTGTGGCTATAAGCTGGCCCCTGGAATAAAGTGAGAGAAAGAGAGAAGTAGGAAGCTGAACACTCTCTCTCCCTCTCTGGCTCTCTCTTTCGCTTTTTTCTCTGTGCTCACCTGATTTTTCTTACGCGGAGAGCTTTGGCTCTCCTTTTTACTCGCGGCGCGCAGCAGAAGTTCTCAGCCGACGATGTTCTCGCTCTCGGTCCCAGCGACCGAGTAGCGGGGATTTCGCGACGAAGGATTTCGAGCCATTTCTGAAAGTAAAACGAGAGCAGGGATTGCTTTCCATTATGCTCGGGGATGAGGGATTGAAGTGTCGTTAGAAGCCGACTCTCTCTCTCTCTCTCTCTCTCTCTCTCTCTCTCTCTGATTTTACTTTAATTTTTTCTTCCCCGACCCCTTTGTACACGCGGTACACGCTCTCCTCTATTTACGCTCGGCAATTTTTTAATTTGCGAACGCCACCGCTGACGATTCAATTTCGTGGCTTCGACGGAGTGACGTTTTAAAAGGCGCGCCCGCCTCGTCTGACTATACGCGTGCCCGCGCTACTCTGTGCGCGGGCGCCTGCTTTTTCCAGTTCGACCGCCTGCTGATTAATCGCGCGTTGCCCAACTAGCGAGCGGGCATGTAGATTCTTGTCTCGCGCGAGGCTCAAGCCCCAGCCAGACGGGAATATCCTTGTCGAACACGTCGAGCTCGACATTTTTCCGAGATAAAAACGCGCGCACTCCCGGCCGGCACATTGAAAATTGCGTATCTATTTCCTGCGCGCCGTGCACGGGATTGAATTCGGGAAAAATGAATAAATACATTGCGTCCGGAGAAAGTAAGATAGAGAGAGAGAGAGGAGAGAGAGAGAGAGAGAGAGAGAGAGAGGAGAGAGAGAGAGGAGAGAGGAGAGAGAGAGAGGTGAGAGGAGAGAGAGAGAGAGAGAGAGAGAGAGAGAGATAGATATACATGTTATTCGCGGGGAAAAAAACGGTGGCGAAATTCCTCTTTGTAGCTCTCCAGTCCATAAATACATTTGTCGTGGTGAGAGCGGAGACGGTGGTGAGCATCGAGCAGGAAAATCGGGAGAAACCGGTAATTCCTGTTACCTGGGTGAACTCCGGAGCGAGGGAAGCCAAGCCGAGCCGGCCCACTGAAATGCTCGTGAATTCCACGGCATAAGCTTCTGGAAAATGTTTGTTATTCGGCTTTGAAAACAAATGCCGTCATGATTTTCATTACTTCCCGCGCGAATTCCTCTCATTATTAAATGGAAACGTTGCCCGCCAGTAATTACGCGCCGGGGCTCGCGGACAAGTTGACCGTCGCATTAAATACGACGGCGAAGAACTGCTCACCGCTCGCGCATTTTCGCGAAGAAAGTGGCCGGTACATCGCGTATATTGCACGACGCGAGAGAGACACCGCGCAGAAGTTTCCCGTGCGAGCCGATGAATAAATCGACGGAAAGAGGTACTATTAATAAAAATTTTTCGACGCTCGTCTGCAGCGGGACCGATATACACATCGGAACGCAGACGCGTTTACGAAAAGACGAATGGCTAGATAGATAGATACGTAGATAGATAGGTATATTTATGTTCGGGATAGCTATAAAGTCGCGTAATTTATTTTATTCTCATGCCGCTCCTCCCCCCATTGTTGTTTATGCAAGTAGATTGCACATCCGAGAGAGAGAGACAGAGAGAGAGACAGAGAGAGAGACAGAGAGAGAAATATCGTGTGATTGATTTCCATCGCACGTGGCGTTTCGTCCGCGCGTCTCTTTTTTTTCCAATCGCTCGTATATATCTACGCGATGACGATGTGCGCGTAGATGAGTAGCAGGACGATACGGCCAATTATTTATCGAAAATTTTTACCTATAAATCAAAAACTTGATGTAACGCTGTACCTCTTCATGATAACAATTTATACTTTTCATTTTATTTTGCGTGCAGTTATTCGAACGATTTTTGCGATAGAGAGCGAGTAAAAAGCTTGTGGGCGAAATTTTGCCAAGCGAAAATTCATGAAATAGCGAGAATTTCCTGGGATAGCGGTGGCGAGTATTTCGCAAAATTTATGTGAGAAGATTGAATAACTCGTCCATTTGCCTGTGCAAACTTTGCTCTCCCCATGACGTATGTGTGGGCTGAGAACTTTTTCGAAAATAACAGGAAAAGAGAAAGAGTCAATAGTGTATCGCGGTAGCCTTTCCCCGCGATTCAGTGCGAAACAAAAAAAGGAAAAAAAAACAGTGACAACGAAATAAATCAAAGCTACGTCTCTATTTCTCTCTTCTTTCGGATTGATTCGTGCGGTAAAAGTCGAATAATCCAATGCAGCGTGCGCGAGGCGTAATTTAATCAACCGTCGGTGTGATTGTTTGCACGAACGTGTGCATATAATACTCGAGGGATTCCCTCTTCCTCTCTCGCGCGTGTTTTAATAACAAAGAAAAAAAAACACCGTTAAAATTGTCCGCTTAGTAAGCACGCTAAATTACACTTTTTTCCTTCGTCGGTCGTCGAACAATAAAGAAAAGAAAAGTAAAAGACGTTGACGTGAAAAATACGAGAATCCACGGTGGATAAAGTTAGCCGGCGCAAGTGTACGGAGCATGGGGGGAAAGACGGCCGTCCGCGTGATCGTTAGCGGCGAGGCTGGCAACTCGTGCCTAGGGCCTCGAGCAATAGCTTGCGCCTCGAGCGGTTAAAGAGTTGGGAAGGCGCAGCGAGCGGCCGAGGAAGAAGCACAGAACAGGCAAATATTGCTCGCCTCGGGCTATATCCAACTTCTCGCACTTCTCTTTCCTCGGACTACTTCATTCTTTCCCCGTCGAAGGGGTGAGACAGACTAATTACGCGGCAAACGGATATTTGACTATTTTTCGCTTGGCGCCGCTGATGGAGGCTGTTGGCTGCTCGACGTGTATCGACCGACTTGACTTTCTCTTTTTCTTTCATTCATGTTTGATACTTGCCGTCCAAACGATATTTTCGCGAGTCGAACATTGGGACTTGTAAGCCGCCGACGTGAATAGACTCTTGGATGGCGGACGAATCGCCGTGTACGATGAATCGAGTTTGCCGAATTGTCTGTGAAAGATTGATAAAAGAAAGCGCGCGCGCATTTGAAAAGGGATGCAACTGTTTTGAAAGGCGAGCACGAGTGGAAAACGGAGTGACGACGTTTGAGAACAGAAAACTGGAAGTCGAGTGCGCGGTCATTGAAAACCGGAACCGGATGCTGGGAATTAAAGGACGCGAGTGCTCTGATAAATAAAGATGAGCTTTGGCTCACGAGGAGTCTCTTGCCGCTGTCTCGAAGCCTTTCAATGGTGCATCTGCCTTGGAAGTCTGTCAATTTATATCGACTTCTTTTTCTCCCCTGAAAATTAATTCGAAATCTCCGTGGCACGTCTGCAATGACGCGGAAATTTCGCTGACGGCAAGCCTTTATTTCACTTTATATGCCGCTCGTAAAAATACGCGCCAGATGCTTCCAAGGACATCGCCGGCTCCATATAACGTAAACTCGTCTTACAAACGAATATTCAAGACAGTTACTCGTACAAATCACTCGCGGGTAATTCGAGCTTTCAAATTCAGGTAAGCATTCTCGCAGCCGCGATCGACGTTAAATTCTAACAATTGAATTTCTATGATTACGCTGCCGCGTTTCAAATTGATTTCGCGATATTTTGTCGACTCTGTTGGCAAAACAACGGCAAACGGATACCGCGGACGGAAATAATCCTCGGTAGCGTCACTGCCGTGGAAAGATATTGCATGAATCGATAACTCAACAGAAGTGAAAGATAAGCAAATAAAACGCGATCGCGAAGAAAATCTATCATCCTCGAAAAACCTAATAATGGTTCTGCGTCAAACAATAACAATAACAACCAATTGGACAACTTATCGAGGTCAATTTATCACGGTTCTTTTGGAAAAAAAAAATTTATTATCGCTGGCAAGCTACGTAGGAAAGCTCGAGTTTACGTTCGGAGAGCGAAAGATTGTTTGCGCATCCGGAAAATAATAACTTTCGGAGCGAAAAAAAATCCTCGCCTTAATTACACTAACGGAAAAGCATGAGAAATCAACTTTTGCCACCCACGCAAGCGCGCGCGTTTCACTAATTACAAACGTAAAAAATGCACGTGAAAAAAAAAGAAAAAAAATCTATCGTCCGCAAACGAAAAAATTCCTCTGCGCGTTTAATCATATAGTGCGTATATATAAAGTCAATAGGTGTTCCGCGAGAAATAGCGCGCGATAGCCTCGCGAAAATCCCCAGGCGACGCGACTTCTTTGTGTAATTAGCGAGGACGAGCTGCTTTCGCCCCTTGTTTTCGCACTGGAAATTAAATTGCGCTCGCACGCATCGTCTGTGACGGTCATTGCGTGAGCTCGCATTTTCTCGCGGCCGGGAATTAATGAGTGGAGCGAACGGAGTGGAGCGGCGTAAGAGTCTCTCTGCTAATCATCGGCAATGCCTTTGATCTGCAGCAGCAGCGGAGGCGGCGACGGTAGAAGTCGAGCAGCACAGCGTGTGCACACGCGCAGGGCGGCTGCAAGTGAGAGATGGACTCGAATATAATCTGATTATCTGCTGCTCGGCCAAGTAGCGTTTCGGCCTTAAACAACGACGCTGATAGAGGCCTGCTAATGCATCGAGAGCATCACTTAGCCGCGAGTCGTCTGCGTATCGATCGCGGCACACTGCACTAGGCCTCGCCGCGCTGATTGTTTAGCCGCGTGCTCTCTGATTGAAACCTACATTTTCAATGCGCTTCGCCGCGATGCAATTCCGAGCGCAGCCAGCCGGCCAAATAAAAGAGCACACATCAAATTAAAAAAGTTTTTCACTCGCGCGTGTTTGACGACTCGAATCGGAGCAGCCGTGGCGCGGGAAATTATCGACATTAAAACTATAATTCTCCTTGGTATCCGGGGCTTCACGCTGGGCTCTACCTCTCGCGCACGTATAACAATAAATTTTTTGTTCTCTTTTTCGTTCGGAAAAATCGCATGGCGCTCGCACCCCCCCCCCCCCCCCCCCGGGAGAATTATAAATCACGAGGCATGTTTAGATAATGCTGCCGAGCACTTTAATTCCGTTTCATTTAAACAAGCTGCTCGAAGTAGATAGCTGCCGCCGCCGCGCGTTATATACATCGCTCCTCTCTCTCTCTCTCTCTCTCTCTCTCTCTCTCTCTCTCTCTCTCTCTCTCTCTTTTGTTTCATGTATATTCAGAACACGTTTACACTTTACAGCTCGCGCGAGTGAGCGCTCTCTGCAATAATTTTTAACACGAAAGCTCGACCTCCATTACGCGCGTGCTCATTCATAAAGTAAACTGGAAACAGTCGCGTGTTTGCTCTCTCTCTCTCTCACCCTCTTTTACGATCCACTTTGCCGACTTTTATTATACCCCCCCCCCCCCCTGTCCGATATATATCGGGGGAAAACAATCCTTTGCCACACAGCATAAAGAAAAGCTCTATGAAATGTTCACTCGTCCATCGTTCCCGTGGGTTGGCTGAAAGAGGTAGAAAAAAGTACGCGGCTCGTTCGATGCCCATTAACGCAGCACGCGCGCGCTTGTGTGCAGGGGGCGATTAATAAAAAAAAAGCGTCGCGCGCACGTGTGTGTGTGTGTGACCTGGTCGCGTAGCGCAGAGCAAGGTTTATTTTTCAAGTGCGCCAAATGACGTAGGAGAGCGCATTTGGTTTATTCACCCGCACACGAGAACGAGACTTTTCCACAGGAAAAAGAGAATGACTTTTTTTCCACCACCGCGCTCGGTGACGTCAGAGAGGGCTGAAAGAGCGAGGAAAAAGCGTTTAGACGTATTCCCTCGCGCGCGCGCATACACACACGAAAACACACACACACACATACATACACATACCATTGTAATTATCCAGCTACTTGAATTTTCAAAACACGCGCTCGTTAGCGACTTTTTTAACCAATGAAGTGGACGTTTAGCTCCAAACGACCCATGTGTTGCAGGGAAGAGAACGAAGGGAGAATGAGAGAAAGGGAAGGAAAGCTGCACATTATTTAATTTCGTTTGCCGCTGCCTGGCAGTCTCGTTACGTTCCTTTTTCTCTCCCTCTCTCTGGCTTTCGCCCACTTTTTTTTCCGAGTTAGGATGGCATGTTCAATCAGAGAGCAATTTGCCTTTTTTTCTCACTTTCCTTTTTTTCTACTGCGGTGATCTAATTTATTTCATAACAATGTGTGGTTATACAAATTACAATGAAAAAAAAAACAATAAAAGCGTCACTTAGAATAAACCTATATTACTTGTTTTTAATTATTATTTACATACACATGAAGCTGTTTTTTAATCTAGACTAAATAAATATTTCTATAAAAACTATATATATATAGATATGCTACAGTAGCACAATAAAAACACAGAATATAAATAAATATAATACAAGGGATGTGTATCAGACTATTAATAACGTGAATTTGGTGTTGGCTTATTCCCATTGTCTTCCTTCTTCTTCTTAGACTCCTGTTTTCTTTTGAATTCTTCTTGCATTTCTCGTTGCCTCCTCTTTCGATCCAGTCTCATTTCTTCTTCTGTCATCACTAGCATGTAGAAACACAATAGAAAAATAAATTAATAAAGTTATTAACATGTCTTATTTTAATTAGGTACACTTCTATACCTGTAGAAATAACAAGTTTTGATTCTTCAGTTTTTATATCTGTCTTTACACCATTGTTAATGTTTACTTTTTCCTTGTGCACTACACTGGCTGTAGATGTAATTGGCTCAGAAACACCTACTCGAAGTTCTTCGTTAATTCCATTGCTTATAGAATTTTCCTTACTTTTGTCTGTATTGATGCAAATATAAATGTAGAATAGCTTTTATTTTAGAATCTTTCTAGAATAAATGAATACTTGATAAGACACAAATACGCTACCTGATTTTACTAGATCAAGATTATTTGAATTTTGATCTTTATCAAATATTTGATCAAAGGCTGCAGCATCCATTAATGCCTCAGCTTGTGACAATGGAATGCAATCTTCAAATGTATTTGCTGCAATACAATACATATAATATGTCAAAACAATTATCAAACACTTACCAATAAAATATTCTTACAAGTTTTCTGTTATTACATTGAACATTGTCTTCTAATAGAAGGTTTTGAGGTGGATCAATCTGTTTAATGTATTTTTCAATCTGCATAGGACTACATTGCTGACTTGGTAATTTATTAATTTTATTTTTGATATCTTTTCCAAAGCACATCAGAGCTCTTTTGAGAGCAATATTACATGAACCCTTGAAAAAAAGTAATATGAATTTATACATAAGAAAAGTAACAATTGATCATATTCTCAATGACTTACCATTCTTGCTTTGTGTATAGCTGATCCTTTTGATGAACTCTCTGTACAGCTATACCCTACATCTTCGTGAAAATTTCCACTTTGTAATTGGACTCTAACTATGGAAGAACAGCCTGCTTGATATTTACCAGCCACATAATCAACATAGTCTAGAAGAATTAATATCTTAAATAAAACTTATTGTTTTTCCTTAGAATATAAATTTTGAAATGAAAACAAATTACCCAGTGATTGATGGCTAACTGAGTGACTCCAATTATCTTCTCCAAATACTTCATTAGCTAATTTTATTAATTGTGAATTGACTGTATTGTAATTCATTATATTTTCTTTATTTGATGACTTTAGTAAATCAGCTTTAGAACTTGGCTATAAAATAATAAACCAGTTTAGTAAATTAATATTTGAATAATTAGCTTAACTATTTTTGATTTTGAATTTAAAAGAAAATATTACTATAAAATTAAAACTAAGTTATGTCATTTATCGATTACTCTCTACAAATCGATTTTTTTCGTTTACTTACAAATTTTATACAACTCATTGTTAGATTTGTTTTCTTTGTTTATGCTACAAAATAAATATGAAACTGCTGTAAACGTAACCCGAATGATGTCGACGCGAAAAAAAAACGGTTAGAATCGTATTCTACCTTGAAATTGTCTACTGTTCCTTCGCGCTTTTAAATTAAGATCGATTGATTTTTGTGTTCCGTAGAGCACTTCACTATTCACTTTTATGGTCCGAGCTAAAGAAAAATGGTCAGCAGTGCACTTCAGTCTGTACATTCATGATTACCACGAAGATACTAAACTGAATCTATAAATTGAAGTGAGCTGCTGGCCACTTCTTGTAGCTGGACCTAGCTGTACACGGTTTACGCGACACCTATCCTTGCGCACGAAATCCTTTTTTGCCGTGTGAAATTAGATATAACCCTTTTCTTAAATTAATAATTTTGATAATAAACCCACACCATTAGTGAAAAAATATTCACTTCAACTCAGTAATTAAGGATTTCATGAGATGAGTGAATCGTGTAAAGGATTTATTGCAGTTCACTTGGGTAATTTTTATCTGATTGTTTTTAATAGTAATAGTCAAGAACATCAACGTGATTTGCTGATTTTTATATTTAATTTCTTTTGAAAAAGGGGCTGGACAACATTCGTTACATTTAAAAGATAAATATCTAGAGTTGAGTAAGGAAGCATGTGAAAAGGTGTATTTAAATGTTTATATGTATATAAATAATTTTATACAAAATCAAAGTATATAGCATGTACTTAATATATATGTGTGTATAATTTATAGGGAATAGAATCTTTACATCAGTCATATGATGTTCTTGAAGCTGTTGTTCAAGCAGTTATTGTTTTAGAAGATTCTCCAATAACAAATGCAGGATATGGCTCAAATCTTACTTACAATGGAAATGTTGAGTGTGATGCAAGTGTTATGGATGGATCTGATCTTCAGTATGGTGCTGTTGGTGCAGTGACAGGTGTTAAAAACCCTGTCGAGTTGGCAAAACGTTTGTGTCAATATCAAATGGTTGATATTGGAAATGGAAGAGTTCCACCAAGGTAATACAAATGTGTAAAATGATTTGCAAATAATATAAATAATCTTATTATATGTAGTTTTTTAGTAGGGTCTGGTGCAAGTGCTTGGGCTAAAGAAATGGGAATCCCAACTATACCTCCAGAAAATTTAATATCAGTTAAAGCTCAAAAAATTTACAAACACTACAAGAGGAAAGTAGAAAAGGCCAATGGAGACATTAGTGAAATAACTCAGGTACTTATTATTTTAGATAAATTATCAAATAAGTCAAGTAAACTTTAATTTTAGCAATTGAAAAAACGAATGGATACAGTAGGAGCAGTTTGTGTAGATAAAGATGGTAATATTGCTGCAGCATGCTCAAGTGGAGGAATAATTTTAAAATACCCTGGACGTGTAGGGCAGGTAAAATCTTGTATTGAATTTCACTTTTATTTAGATAAAAATTGCTCTATTATATCCTATAATTGTTATTCTAAATAGGCAGGGTTATGGGGCTGTGGAACTTGGGCAAGTAAAGGGGAAATTTCAGTTGGAACCAGTACTTCTGGTTGTGGAGAACATCTCATTAGAACTACATTAGCTCGAACTATAGCTGATGCCATTGTAACAACTGAATGTCCAACTACAAGCTTGCACAGAGCAATGCAAGCTGATTTTATTGGTAAAATTATTTTCATTTTGACCAAATAAACTGTAGAGATTTGAATGCTAGTTTTATACAAAATACCTATTTCCAGATTCTAGACTATTGCAACATTTGTCTGAAAAACTTGGTGGTTTGATTGCAATTCGGTATTCCCATGAAGATGGTTGTGGGGATTTACTTTGGAGTCATTCTACAAATAGTATGATAATCGGTTATAAGAGCTCTACTGATAAATCAGCAAAAGTAAATATCAAAAGTTGTAAAACACCAACTTTCATTTTCAAATTTGATAATGTTTTAAACAGTATTGTTTCACTTTATTTTATAGAGCCATATGTCTAATTTACCTGTGCCAGAAGTAGGAAAGAAAGCTACAGTAGAAGGAGTTAGTTTTAAGTTGAAAAACTAAGTAAACTGCAGCAAATACTTGTATGTATTTATTTATGTAATTTATATGTAGTTTTATAAAAAAATATCAGATATAAAAGTATTTAAGTATCTAATTCAATTGCAAACTGGTTTTTTATATATTCTCTGGTAACGATACATTTAGTCATGTCACAATCACAAGGAATTTCGTGAGAAACTTCTGAGGCATCCAACATTGTAAATGAAACGTTATACCTTCTTGAATTGGAATTATTTCGATCGAATTTCAATTCAAAAGCAATAGGTTCTTTTCTACTAACATCAAAGGATGTAGGTAAGACTATAACTGTTTGCTGCCAATGTGTTGGCTCTAATGCAGGATCAGTAGATAATACTGAATCATCTGGAAACTCCACATCAAACCAAATAGCACAGCCTTGATATTTGCCATTTTTTGAACAAGCTAACACAACTTTTGATCCTAAACTATCTAAATTTTCCGAAGTTACTGTTTTCAAGTCCAGCCAAACTATTATTTTACCTTCAGCTAAAATGTCTTCCTGAGGAATTAATAAAATTTCTGGCTTAGAAGATTTGCTTTGTCTGTATTTTTCTGCTATACATCTAAAGTATAAATCAAAAAATGAATCAAATTTTAGTACATCAAATCTATCAATATAACCACTTAGTCCCTTACTTCATGCTTACTCCAAAAATATCATCCCAAAATTCATTAAAGTTAGGTAGTTGACAAGGAGCTGTGTAAATCTTAGCTATAGATGGAAACATAAGCCCATCATCTTTGAGAAATTTATCTCTTGCAAATATGACAGAATCTAACATCCCTTCATGCACTAAATAAAAACCCATCCATTCGGACACAATAATATCAACTTTCTCTATTTCATTTGTGTCAATATCTTCAACCTTTTTTTCTATGATATCTATAACTTGTTCAACATTATTTTCTTTAGCTACTATAGATATTAACTTTGCCAAATTACTTGCTTCTACCGCATAAACTTTCTTGGCTCCTGCTTGTGCACAAAATATAGACAGTATTCCTGAAAATTAAAATAAAATTACAAGAGAGTGGGTTTAGAAAAAATTATATTTACTGTTTATTACCAGTCCCAGCTCCTACATCCATTACTATTTTATTGGTAAACTTATCTTTCATATTAAATATTGTATTTTTGTAAGCTAATGTTCTAGATTTATCATTGAGCATCAATCGGTGGACCTAAAATAACAAATTATAGAAACGATAATAAATTTAATTATTATAATACTTACATCCAAATCTTCATAACTATCAAAATAAACTTCTGTATTGTCATTATTGTCATCCATTGTCAACACTGTTTCCTTATGTCGCTTATAAATTAAAAATTATAAATAGGTTAGAAAATTAATTATTACTCAGATAACACAGTGCCGCTCGAAGCACTATGCCTGCATTATAACGGCACGCCGTGACGAGCACGCGCGTGCCAAACCATGCTGGCACGCTGTGTTATCTGGAGCGAAGAGAGCTGCAACTGTGCTTGATTGCTGAATGATAGTCACTGAATTTCAATGTTAAATAGGACCTGAGTATTGAGACTTGTGAATCTGACGCCCAAAAAAATTTTTTAATCATATTTTTGAGTTTTCATGAGCTAAAACGTTTTCTCCCTTTTTCCGGATTATGTCTCCGCTTGAAATTTTATTTCCGGATTTTCCGTTTTTAAGAAAATTGCGAAAAAAAATCGGGCGTTCGTACAGCGCGCAAAATGCATTAAACATTTTTCTCCTGTTTAAAAAGAAATAATATCGATAGCGGATGATAGCTCCTTATTCCCGGATTACGAAACAATTTTCCTTTTGTCGATTTTCTATCAAAAATTGAGGAAAATGTAAAAATTAGTAACATGCGGCAGTTAGTCGATAAAACAGGTAAAACGTTTGCTAATCACCAGGGGGCCTATTCTGAAAAAAAGTTTTAGCACGGGGCCTATTCTGAAAAAAAATTTTAGCACATGTCATAAGCATCTATCACATCTAAAGTGATTAATTCTGTGGTAAACTGAAGTGACAAACTGATTTACCACAAAATTTTTTTTCAGAATAGGCCCCCAGATATCCCTATATGAGTTCTACATTGCATAATTATAATAATAAGTAATTTAAATTCTACTCAATTAACCATTCACATTTTATGTACATATACATAAATAATTTTTTCTAAGGTTTTCTATAAGTTTGTCAACATGTCAATTTTATAATTAATATTTTAACTATATAAAATAACATAATTCTGAACAAAGTAATAAAAAAATTGAATTGACTAGTTAAAATTGAAAAAAACAATCATTGATCAAAAACTTATAGCTTAGTTTTATATTTGTTGAATTATTTAATAACGAACTTAATTTTACTTCCATTCTTCTTAACAATTTAAAGTAATAATCAATTGTAGCATATTATAAAAATACTTCAATATACAGGTCAGGTTAAAATAAACTATATTTGTTTTGTCAAAAATATATTTGTTTCAACGTAGCAACACTTTTGCTAATTTTGTGGATAATGATTACGATTAGGTATTTGCATAAAAAAATATAAATAATCCAACCTTATTGTTTTATAGTTTTTAATATATTTTATAATACGACATATTGTTCACAATGTTTATCAATAAATATTGTATATATAACATAAGCAAGGAAAAATAAATTATATATTTTTGACAAAACAAATATAGTTTATTTTAACCTGACCTGTATATTGAAGTATTTTTATAATATGCTACAATTGATTATTACTTTAAATTGTTAAGAAGAATGGAAGTAAAATTAAGTTCGTTATTAAATAATTCAACAAATATAAAACTAAGCTATAAGTTTTTGATCAATGATTGTTTTTTTCAATTTTAACTAGTCAATTCAATTTTTTTATTACTTTGTTCAGAATTGTTATTTTATATAGTTAAAATATTAATTATAAAATTGACATGTTGACAAACTTATAGAAATCCTTAGAAAAAATTATTTATGTATATGTACATAAAATGTGAATGGTTAATTGAGTAGAATTTAAATTACTTATTATTATAATTACGTAATGTAGAACTCATATAGGGATATCTGGTGATTAGCAAACGTTTTACCTGTTTTATCGACTAACTGCCGCATATTACTAATTTTTACATTTTCCTTAATTTTTGATAGAAAATCGACAAAAGGAAAATTGTTTCGTAATCCGGGAATAAGGAGCTATCATCCGCTATCGATATTATTTCTTTTTAGACAGGAGAAAAATGTTTAATGCATTTTGCGCGCTGTACTAACGCCCGATTTTTTTTCGCAATTTTCTTAAAAACGGAAAATCCGGAAATAAAATTTCAAGCGGAGACATAATCCGGAAAAAGGGAGAAAACGTTTTAGCTCATGAAAACTCAAAAATATGATTAAAAAATTTTTTTGGGCATCAGATTCACAAGTCTGAGTATTGGCCTATATTTTGTATTAATGAAGGAACGTGGAATCCAATCAAATGGATCAATGTAAAAGTAAAGAAAAGATATAAAATTTGGTGAAAATATTTCTAATAGCCAATCTCTATATTGCAACGGATTTTCGTGTATATAGTGTAATAATTTAACTGAAGTGTAGAATGAATAATACATAAAATTTGCAGTTAAGGTTTTCAGTAGAAGATTTGATAATTATATTGTTGTAATGCGTTGGTCGAGGCAAATTAGCTTAAAGATATTCTAAGATTCCAATTACGATAAAAAGATGAAAGTCTAAGTAATTTTATATGTAGTCTTTAATTCTATATGTATATGTTAATAATATGTTTCAATTTTATTGTAGTAATTATAACAACTGATCGGTAAATAAATTTATACAAATTGAAAAATGTCAAAGTAGTGAACGTGTATATAGTCTCAATTGTAGTTGGTTAAACTTACTTCCAAATAAAAACATACGTGGAACGTGAAATTCAAACAGCAGCATAGAAATGGCGATCAGATTTATAAAACATACTTAGATTCGTCACGATTTAGAAATTTTTTATAGTTCATCACCTGGAGGCCTATTCTGAAAAAAAATTTTGTGGTAAATCAGTTTGTCACTTCAGTTTACCATAGAATTAATCACTTTAGATGTGATAAATGCTTATGACATGTGCTAAAATTTTTTTTCAGAATAGGCCCCGTGCTAAAATTTTTTTTCAGAATAGGCCCCCTGATCCCCAACGAGGTCGGCATCTGTCCTACCTACATACCGACTAAGCATATACCGACTAGTATTATTTGTCGTACCTATATATGCGACTCTCTCATAAGATGGCGCGTGCTACCTTTAGTGGCTGTCCTGCCGATAGTGCCGATATCTATATATAATTTAGTGCTATGATCACATGATATACTACTATGTGGCGGCAAATAACGTGTATGTATGGTTTCGAGTTGAGATGTAGTAGTAAAAATTCCATTATCATAATTGAAACAGGTTATTTAGAAAATAATGAAAGTAAAGAAAGATTGACTGCAGTGATTTACATGTTAATTTACCACTCATTTTATGAAACTAACAGTGAGTAAATCGTTTGGTAAACCAAGAGGTAATGCTTTGGAATCATTTTCTATTGCAAATCGATAATCTAATATTGGAATTTGTAAGATTGAAAAAATTTTTGTAATTTCGTAATCTTTATTCAAAGAGTAGGATAAACGTTTAATAGTAATATGACCTATATAATTGAAAAGAACTAAAGATTATTCGATATGATAAATTATGAATTTGGAATACACGGAATTGTTTTACTAATACACAGTTTTCCGTGTGACACGAGTTTTGTAAAAAAAACTGAAAAATCTACCTTTAAAAAAAAAGATTAGTGAAATATGTTAACCAATACGATTAAAAATGAAAATAGAAGATGAGAACGCGCGAAGCACATATGATATCCCTATAGTATTGAAAAGAATCAAGAATCAGTTGAGGATCTGATTGCTGCAAAAAGTATAGCGAAACCGTATTTTTCGATATTGTTGAAAATGAATCACATAGTTTTGGTATATAAAATATATTAGAGGTGAGCAAATAGTTTGTAAATTAAATAAGAAATGTTATCGTTTCAAGCTTGCTCAAACTGCTTCAGATTTACGTTGGAACCTGAAATGAAGTCTACTGTTTTTATTGGCTCAAAGGAATGGATTTTTAAATTGCAATATATACACACATATATATGTGTGTTGTGTGTGTTGTGTGTGTGCGCGCGTGTGTGTGTAAAATTGCTATCAGGTAAGTTTTTAAAACAAACTGTGAATATTTATTTTGATGAACGCAGCATATCAAAATATAAGAAATTCGTCTTTTTTAGTTTTGCCTCGAGCAATTATGTTAACACGAAATAAAGTGATTTGTATCTTAAATTATTCTTTCATTTGATCTAGCCGTTTATTTAAAAATAATTTTTCTGAAAATCATTTTTTTATCGTAATCATTGTTCATTACGATAAAAAGATAAATTGAGTTTTAATTGTTTAGTATAAACTTAATTTTATTGTAGCAAGCGAAATATCCAAAAATTATTTTTAAACCGTTGGCTCAGTTGCAATTAATTCGTTTGTACAATACTAAACTATTGACTCATACATTTACTTCTGCATTTTCCTATTTATTCGAGATGAATTTCGGAAAAAGAAATTTTCCTGTATTTTGGCAAGCAACATATACAGCGAGAAGTTAACTATATAGGTTGCAAGATACAGATCTATTTATTATTTTATTCAATCGTATTCATCTAAACGAAAAAAAACTATAATTGAGAATGTGATGAAAGAGGACCGAACCTGGGTCATGACTGAACGAAAACTTTAGTCACCGCCGTTTCAGTAAATACTGTGCGTGTAGTCTTATATTTATTAGACTGCATTAATAATATAATTTAATCAATTGTCTAGTGAAAACGATATATTAAACAAAAAATGTATGAAAAAGTGAAATAAAAAAAAACAATATTTCTAAAAATGTACAATTACGTTGTATCACTACGTCTTCATTCATCTTCCGCAACTTTATATATGTTTTTAAAAATACTTATTTCTATGCTATGAAAAAAGAATGCGTATTATTCACTTTTTAATTTATTATCAAGTGACGATTTGAGCTTAGTGTTTCTCACTTGCAAATAAAGTATTGAGCTAATTTTGTTTATTCTTATATTTATTACTTGAAGAATCCGAAAAACTAATCTTGGTGTTGCAAAGCTCTTCATTTTTGTATTAAATTATAATAGTCGTATAATTAAACAAAATAAAAATACGGTAATCTGGAATTCAGACAATAAAGTATATAATTAGTTTTCCTTTTGTACGCAATTATACTTATTATTGCAAAAGATACATTTCCTTGAATAGATAGAAATAAACTTATAAAAACAATAATTAATATTTCAGTCAACGATGAGCTAAAATAGATTCATCGCGTGATAGTATAATGCTAGAAAAAACGGCGTGATGATTAAT